GAAATGAGTGCCATATTCGTAATGAGCATCCCCAAATACCTCGAAAAGGATACCCATATAGCATATTTTGAAAAATCGTGTCCGCCATCTTGGATTTACAAATAAGTGCTATATTCGTTTTTCATCGACAAAACCGAGCACATCTGTAGGCACCTGATCGACAATGTCGGGCAAATCTGTAGGCACCTTTAACTTAATGATGAGTTAAGCAAGATACAATTTCCCCACTTTTGAGGGAAATGTTATTCCATGGCATCATTATTTGTATATTTGTGTGCGTGCCGACGAGCGTAGTTACAAGTTGCTTACGCCTACATGAATTTGGTTTTTGCCTCACTTGTGACAGTTCGTTTGATATGAAACTATCATTCTATGCGTTATTATTCTAAGTTAAATACCTTATTTTTAATTTTACAAAGAAAACATTCCAATTTACGCTATATTAAGTTTTACAAGTTATTTTATTGAATGATTTTTTTTTTAAATTCATTCAAAAATAGTTTCATTTCCTATGTGTAACAATCGCGAAAACCTAAGAACTCGAAAAGAAATATCTTTTTATATATGTACCTACGTAGCTACTGATGATATTAATTTGTGATTTTTTTTGTATTTATGCCTCTCGGTAAAGGAAATCAAGCACGATGAAACATCTACGTCAAAGGTTCGCGACTCGCGACACTTGCAGAAACAAGTCCACAACCCGCAACTTTCGCTCTCGTTGGCCTCCACCTGCCTTTTCATTGGTTAACGCAACAAAAATAAAAGAGATGGCCGGTAGGTTAGGTTAGCAGTGTGCAGTGTGATAGTTGTGACTTTGGGATAAAGAGCCTGAAATTATGGTTTCTTTGAAAAACCAAATATACTCGATTTAGACCCGGAAAAAATGTTATATTTCAAATAAATAGCAATCTTGAAAATCGAAATGAAAACTCTGTAATTTAAAATATTCATTTAAATAACGAAATGTCTTTATATTCTGAAACAATACAGTTCTAGTGTATAAACACCAATGCGAAGACGAATTTTCAAAAGAAAACATCTATGTATTGCATTGATGATGTGTGCTTCCGACGATATTTTTTTTTTTTTGGAATTATTGTAATATTTTTGTTAATGTTATTTAAACATTTATAAATGGTTTAAATTTGACTTAAATACTCCACTTTAAACTTTCTCTCACAAAATATTCCTACACAATTTCGATTAAACTAGGACATGGCATATCTCACCTGTCCCTCAATAACTCGTTGTTAATATGGGTATCCCATCTAGTAGTGACGTTAGTTTCGTTCCTCAGCTGATTTGCCCGTTGTCTCAATTCATAATTTTCAAATCTACGAGCTCGTGCTTCATTTTGCAGCCGTTGTACGTTCCGAGTCCAATCTGCCACAGTGAGCCGAGGGAGAGGCTTTTCTAGTACAGGAATCGAAGCGTCCATCTTGGTTGATTACAGGGAGTATTGTGAATGTGACCCACATACAACAGGGATTGTTTGATCGATATGGAAATTTATTGATTGGGTTGGGATAGACGAAATAGGTCAGTATTGTTTAATACTCAAGGAAATGTTGTTCTCTTTCTTGAGTAACTTTATAATGTCCTTTATAAACTAAAGTCATATATATTTGAGTAATTAACAGATTCTATCGTTAATAATAATAGAAGTAAATTCATTTGGTGGTAGGTACTTCGCGATCCTAATTCATTTAAAATTAGTTATTTAAAATTAAAGAATCAACCTTTACTGGGTTCGCGGAGTAGGAAATTAATTTACTTCCATTTTTATTATCTGTATTTTCATTATGTAGAAGAATATGTACCGTCATACATATACAAAACATACTAAAATGTTTACTCTCTACTTGCTGTAGAACATAGGTCTCCAAAGTTTTTGGCTCACCGCCCATTTATACAAGATAAAAACAATTTCAACGCCCACCATGTAGCATCCTCTGGACAGCATCAACGCCTCCCAATTGCATCGGAGGCCCCTACTACTCTAGGACTCTTCAGCGGCCATTGGGAGGCGGTAGGGACCACTTTGGGAAACTATGATGTACAAGGTTTTTTAGTAAAGATTTTTGAATTTCGCGCCCATAGAATGGCGCGCGGAAGTTTATTGTGACGTGTTTAGATCAAAGTTGCCAGCCAAAAATTGGATTCTTTCTTTATAATATTTTATTATTTTATATAGATTATTTATTATATTTGGATGTCAATATTTACGGCAAATAACGGTTATTTTTAATGGTTATTTTTAAAACAATTTATTGATGATGTGTGTATTTTTTTCCAAACCCCAATCAAAAGGAAGTTGTATACGAAAAAAAAAACAAAAATATGAAATTAAAAATGGCGACCATTATTTGCTGAATAAGTGGAGTTTAGTGGAGGCTTCGCCAGTTTTTCTGTGATTTTATCTATAACCTAGTGAAAATTTATATGTCAGACTGATACCGTTTGGGAGAACACGGTAACCAATTAACTTAGTGAAGTTGCTACAATCGTATATTCAGCGCGGAGAAAGATGTAAGTTACTGCAAGTTGTCATCTACACTTTTTTTATTTCCGCTTCTAAATGAAACTTGGGATTTAGGTACGACGATAAACGTGGCGGACGAGGTGGTGGACGCGGGGGTGGCCGCGGTGGCGGCAGTGGAGGCCGAGGAGGTGGCAGAGGTGGGTCTCGTGGAGGCCGATCGAGCGACCGTTCGTTGGACAGAGGAAGCCGTTTTGGCAGTAGTGGTGGCGGCCGCGGCCGAGATGGAGGCGGCAGGGGTGGCGGTCGCGACAGCGGACGGGGTTTTGGTGGTAGCCGGGGAGGTCGGGACGACTTCCGCAGCGGCGGCAGCTTCAAGAACGATCAGCCCGGTGTCAACTTGCGTAAAATTCGCTGGGACACCGTCCAACTCACTCCTTTCCGCAAGAATTTCTACGTCCCCCACGAAAATGTTACGAGGCGGTCTGCGGCCGAGATTGAGTCTTACAGAAGTCAGAACCAAATCACTGTCAAAGGTCGCGAAGTGCCGGCGCCAAGTATTTACTTTGAGGAGGGAGGGTTCCCTGATTACGCTATGAAAGAGATTCTAAAGCAAGGATTCCCTCACCCTACTCCTATCCAAGCTCAGGGCTGGCCTATTGCTCTGTCTGGAAGGGATATGGTAGGGATAGCACAGACAGGGTCAGGAAAGACTCTGGCATACATTTTGCCAGCTATTGTCCATATTATTAATCAACCAAGACTGTTACGGGCAGATGGACCAGTTGTTCTCGTCCTAGCACCTACTAGAGAGCTTGCACAACAAATTCAACAGGTAACAATAAAAATAGTTCAAAGCTTAAATTTTTTTCATAATGCAACTCTGGTGTTGGAAACATACTGCCTGAAAATAGTTTAACTTAGTCCGGCCATAGACAAATTATGAATTGGAGAAACCTTGAAATTCTAGTTTTTATCACAAATCTGCTTTGATAATGTGGGGTAGACAATACTAGTTATCTAAGCAGCTGATTCTTTTCTCAAGTAATTTAGGTAACTTATTAAATATTCTTTGTTTTTCTTAAAATATCAAGTATAAATGTTTGTTTTCCATTTTGCCGCACCAGACTTTGGTTGCGATGAATGGGATTGCCGCCGAGATGCTGGACCCAAATGAGCCGGACTTGCCACACATTGTAAATTAATTTCAGTACTAATATGTAGAACTTAGCTTTACCCAGGCAGGCTATGTTCGAAAACCTAAACATCTTTTGGGGTTTTTGTAAAAACTTGGAAATTTAAATTCAAAATTCTGATATGTTAGGTCCAGGTTTCTGAACGTAACCTTAATGTCTATGTTTTTAATAGCACTGTGTTTTTTAGTTTTATTTTTCTTTTAGATTCTTTCTTTTAGTTTCTGTGCTTTTCTACACTATTTAGCTAAACTTTCTGTCTTTATCATGTAAACAATATCACTAAATTTTATGTTATTACACCGAGGAAGTGTCATTTCATTTTTAATTTTATTCTTTTCATTTCAAAGTGTCATTAATTAAAAGGAAACTGGTTACACTATAGACTACAAACGAGTGCAGACTCCCAATCACCTATTTAGTCATATTGTGTTTAACTTTCAAGGATTAATGGTTTGCATTAGGGATTAATGGGAAGGAGAACATAAGGATTATATCAGAAATAATAATAACATGACCCTTACTGCAAATGTTTGGTTGGATCAATTAAATCTAAAACCTCTTTCAAAACAATAGATAGTCTATAGTTTGTTTGATAGTTGCACAATTTCGGACTAAAACATGCTCATCAGCCTAAAACTTCATGTAATACTTTGAAAGAACCACGTTCCAGGTGGCAAATGACTTCGGTCAAAGTGTTCAAGTGCGGAACACTTGCATCTTTGGAGGAGCACCGAAGGGACCGCAGGGTCGCTGCCTTGAAAGAGGCGTTGAGATTGTCATTGCTACACCTGGCAGATTGATTGATTTCTTGGAGAAGGGTAAGTACAACGCCGTCGTAATGAAGCCATTGATTTCCAATCAATTTTCTATTGAATATTGTCAAAAAAATCTTGTTGAAATTATCGCGTGTGTAATATAATTGTTACGTAAACCGTCACTTGTCCCACACCGCGCAGTTACCTCAGGAACCGACTCAGTTAAGCCTTTTAGTTTGATTAACCTAACCTTAGAATGAAGTTCTGACCTTGGAATATCTAACCTTAGAATGAAGTTTGGTGCAGACTCGATAAATTCATGTATTAATTCATCTATCTACAGGTACAACTAACTTGAAACGTTGCACATATCTGGTGCTGGATGAGGCCGACAGAATGCTGGATATGGGCTTTGAACCCCAGATCCGGAAGATAATAGAGCAGATCCGACCTGACAGACAGGTTAGTGTGATTTGACAGCAAGTGTAGCCACTATCTGCTGGAGTCGAAGATAGTTAGTGTGGCGGTCTATATTGACGAATATAAAAATTCTAGGTACTCATGTGGTCAGCAACCTGGCCGAAGGAAGTTCAGAATTTAGCTGAAGAATTTCTGGACGATTACATTCAGATCAACATTGGGTCTCTATCGCTGTCAGCCAACCACAATATCCTTCAGATTGTGGATATTTGCGAGGAATGGGAGAAAGCTGATAAGCTTGTCACCTTACTGCAGGAGATATCCTCCGAGGAAGAGACCAAGACTATTGTTTTTGCCGAAACTAAGAGAAAGGTAAGTGGATCTGAAATTGTATGAATCCTAAACACAAAGTCATGTCCAATCACAGCGTTTTGCAACTTAGATTCTGTAGCTGAAATGTTTTATGAACATTCCTGGGCGTGCACAGTTTTAAAGCAAGTTGCTGGAGATGGTTGTATGACCCAATTGTATGGTAGGTCGACGAAATAACCAAAGCCATAAACCGCGCTGGTTGGCGCGCGCTGGCCATCCACGGCGACAAGAACCAACAGGACCGCGACTACGTGCTGGCGCAGTTCCGCCACACCCCCAACGGCATCCTCGTGGCCACTGACGTCGCCGCCAGGGGATTGGGTAAGTCTGCTGGAGCTTTGAGTCCTTCTCATGGCCGGTATACACGAGTTTAGTACCTACTTTACTCTTGCATATCGATCTTGTGTCAGCGAGACGCGAGTGGGAAAAAACTCTTCCAATCACACAAGCGAGAACATAGACTTTGTACCGTTGGGCGCTGATTGGTCGAGAACGTCTCCCTTTTGGATCCTGCAATTCAGCTTATGAAACTCGAGCTATATTCATTCCACCTATGACCTAATTATATGCAGCGGTTTTGCATGGCTACTGTTTTTGGTCCTATCACACACAGTAACATGTGAGAAAGAGATATAAATAGTGCCCTTGCAATACAACCGCTTAATTTAATTAGCTTTGGGATATAATGTGAATTTTTTGGGTAGTGTGCATATTGCTGATAGATAAGTCTATTTCTTTGGAAAACTATCACTTTTTTAATAAACACAGTTCATTTGAAGTAACATAAATGTAACTTTTGATTTTCGTATATATGTGATGTGATATCACAATTGGTAAATTAAATTTGTAAAATTTACTAAGCCTTATTGAATTCCCTATAGTAAAAAGAAGCGTTGAAACTACAACTGTTACCACAGTTATCCAATACAAAGAGCTTGTGTATTAGTGATATGCACAGATTTTTCTTATCAGGCTTGAATCCCAAGATGCAAATGAACAAAATCAAAAATATAAATCAATACCTCTATACTAAAATAACATAAATCTATGAGAAACAAATACATATATGTGTAGGTAGTATGTGTCACTGTAAACTGCCCAGAAGTACTATCTTATGTTTGAGCCACCTAAAACTTATAAAATAGAAAACAAAATATGGTGGTGATATAACTCCCGCCAACGTAAAAAAACTTAATAAACCAAGGCATCAAACAGAAGATTTGGTAAAACAGTAGCGAGGTACCTAAAAAGGTGTTTTAAGATGTCGCTATCGCCTCGCACTGTTCTCCCGGGGTGTTATCAAGGTCTAAGAGATGTGTCAGGAGCGTAAGGGAGGTATTTGATGCCATTGCTAATTACAGCTTACTCGTGGTTGTCTTACCAACCCACTGAAATGAGGTTCCAGTATTCACCTTTTATTATTACCTTTAGATTAAGCTAAGATAATCAAAAAAATATTTCCATCATGCGACAAAACATTGTCATTCTGGTATGATTATGTTTTTCCTGCAACGAATTTTAAGGATTATTGCATGCTATTTTAGTTACATGGTTTTAAAGTAATACAGTCTTCTGTCTAAATTGATTATTTCTAAGCATTCTCAAGAATTTATAACTGAATAGCCATAGAGTTGTTCAAAGAGGATGAGTCATTTTTTAACAATCAAAACTTTAGGAAGGAAAACATTGCGACGTGTAAACCTGCAATATCGTTCAAAAAGATAATGAAATCTCCTTCACCTTTCAATAACTCAGTGGTACTGGGAACTATGCGTTTCCACGTATTGAGGAAACTGATACGTGATTCGCCTGTTAGTGGTGGTCTAAGATTCAGATCATCAGTGAAAGAGATGTCCACAAAACTAAAGAGACCACTCATACCCGAGACACGAAGAGCAAAGTGAATATTGGAACGTAGGCCACTGATTTACGATAATGATACAGCAATGGTTCCCTAATACTGCTAATTTAAGACTGTGATCGACGAATCTTTTGATAGGCATGCATTTTTATACAATAATCAATCATATGTAATTGTGGCAAACGACAAAAGGAATAAGTTCCTTCATGATAAACCAAGAAACTACGGCTTGCGTCCTATACTTTTTCATTTGTTATAATGCAACGATGAAAGAAAAGGTGAACGCAGTTCAACGGCTGACTACATGAGCCGAACCGAACTTAAGATCTGATCGTCTATACTTTCTGCGGCCAAACCGTTATCATTAGGTTCACGTCACAGTCCGATAGTATAAATTTCCATGACTGACTCGGCATTATTCTCAATTGTTTTCATTTCAGAGGCGCATGCGTGCAGAGATAAGGGCTAGCCGTGTGTTGCTGACTTCGATTTAACGATAGTTATCATTAAACATAGATTCTAAGGAATCATTAATGAAGTAACGACAGCATTGTCAGCGCACACTGTTTTGAGCATGCTGCCTCTAAAATTGTGGGAGGTGTAAAATTAGTAGACAGGGCAATGATGGTCTTACAAATTAGGCAAATTCTTGATGAAAATCTAATTATAACAGAAAAATTCTTAAATAATTAGTGGACAAAAGCGAGAGAAAGAAATAATTTTGTGTTTGTAATGAAAACGGTAAGCAAGCGAATGTCATAAAGGAGAATTTATTAGCTACGATTAGTATAAAAGTGAAGAAGACGTCACTTTATGGTTAGGCGTTAGTAATATAAAGGGGGAGTAAGACCATCAAACAAAGAGCAATACATGCTTGGTTAGATGTCATGCGAGATTTAGAAGGGCCTGCCCTACGCCACCTGACCGGTACAAGATTTCTTTGGGGATGTAAAGTCAGCACACCGCTCTTGGCCTCCAACACTCCGGATGCACTGAAGGGCATAATACAGTTATTTCCAGCTACCACCGGCCGCAACTATCGATGAAGGTAATTATTTGACTGATTTCTGTATGGGGGAAGAATTCTATTCACACTTAGCATCTGCACTTAAAATGAAAATTTTCCCTTTCGTTATTTTTTTTTGTGGTATTTCGTAGTACAACATCGATATCAACCGTTTGTTATTAGCCCATTCAATGTGATTACTAACAAGAAAATCGATAAACGCTAATGACGCGCCATGTTGTGAGAACTGCATTTGTTACTTTTTTTTAACGAAAGCTTTTGATTTCGTTGTTATAACTCAAATCTTCGAAATCTTATTCTGATTAATTAAAATGTATCAATCATTATTAATTTTTGTTTTAAACATATAATTGCAATAAACATGTACTTAATGGAATTATTTGAAGAGTATTTGTACCACAAATATCAGAGAGTCCTGCAAGGCACAAGATTGCGTCCTATGTTATTTATTTTCTTTAGAATTCTTGCCTCAAACAAAATATTGACTTCTAATTACCTTATTGTTAATAAGTGTTTGTCATGTCAATGTTTTATAAATATTCTTTTTCATCTTAATAACATGTATTTTACCGCTTATGTTGGGACTGCCTAACGTATTTTTCATCGAGTTAATACGAGCTTTGTCAGTTTACAGTTATTATTTTTGTCATATGGGTAATGGAATATTTTAAATGAATACGTTAGACGAGTCACATCAGGTACCGTCGTAACCGGGAGCATTCATATATAGTTATTTATTGTTATGACAAGTATAGTGCATACGCAAGAAATAAGTTTTATATTATTTCTTGCGTTTATTGATATTAGTAGATGGAAGCTACCAATTATACCTTTAGTTTTATACGCTCGGTTATGTGCAATAGTTTTTTGTAATTCTTATAGACCAATAACGCTAAAATAATGTTGATACTGTCTTATTTACGTTATTTTAATTTTATGAAATTAAAATAAGGTTTTAATTTAAGAAGCTGAAAATTATTATACAAAACCGTCATTATTTGTTGTATTTCAACTTTCATATTAATCAGTTTTTAAGCCACAGTTGGCAGTGGTCTGTGAGAATTATGTAAATTTATTAAAAATGATTGTTCCACTCAAGTCGAAAGACGATATTTCACTATTGTGCAATGCTATAGACGTGGAAGACGTGAAGTTTGTCATCAACTACGATTATCCGAACAATTCTGAGGACTACGTGCACCGCATTGGACGCACAGGTCGCTCCAGCCATACCGGAACGGCCTATACGTTGTTCACTCCTAACAATTCTGCTAAAGTACGTATTTAAAATTATTAATTAATTTGCTAGACAACCGAACCGATTTTCTGGGCTCATTCCCTTCCCCTTCTCCCTAACTGCTGGACCAATAACTCAAGAGGACTGCTAATGTCCGTACTACAAATGGTAGCTCTAAAAAGGTCAAACTCCCTTCTTATATCAAGAAGGCGCTGAGCAATAGCCTGGAAGTAGTTTATATTATTAAGATATTCCTTTATTAAGATATCCACGGCCATTTACGTAATAATAATAATAATAATAACGCGCACACTCAACCCGCATGAGGGAAACACTGTGTCGCGGGTGCTCACAGACAACCTCAAATTACACCCAAACTCACGAGAGAAATAAATGTAGGCCATTGAAACATTTCCCCCAGCCCGGGAATCGAACCTGGGACCTCTGCGTGGCAGTCGGCATGGTAACCGTTCGGCCACGGAGGCGGTAATTAAAGTGGCTTTGATAAATTGCAGCTTGTCAAAAAAGTAAAAAAGCTTAAATCTGATTGCACCCAGAAAAGTCGTGAATTGGTATGTTGTGGTCGCAAAATTATAATTAGTCGCTCTTTTGTTTAGAAGATATGTACAACTGTTTTATTATTTCTATGTTATATCGTATAAGGCAATTAACAAATTATTTAAGTGCAGTATTACTTACTTTTAAAAATAAAATAATGTATCCTTGAAACAAAATTTCATAT